ATAATTATATAATATAATTATAATGATACAATACATAACTATAATAAATATAATTATAATATATAATATAATTATAATAATTATAATATATAATTCATAATTATAAATAATTATAATTATATAATCATAATTATAATAATTATAATAAATAATTATAATTATGATAATATAGTTCACGGTTACGCCAATCAGGGTAATTGATGCAATAATTTAAAAAAAATCCCTGTATTCGGATAATGATCCTGATCGCCACCAAAATCTTAATTATTATTATTAATGACATGTAAGTTAAGCTAAGTATCTAAACTAAAGCAAATCTCTTGTAAAAAAAAGTCATAAAATTCAACTTGTTCACAACTTTTTAAGTTATTAACCAACAAACTAACCAACGTTACTTAAAATTATCTAATTGGCGGTGGGGATAATTATCATGATAATAACAATGGTGAGGTTATTGATAATAAGAATAACAATAACAAAGATAATAGTGATCATAATGATGATGCTAATCATAATGATAATAATGACATGTTGATAATAATGATGATGATAATACTACTACTGCTAATAAGAATAATGAAAATGATATCAATAATAGCAATCATATTGATAATGATAATGATGATAATAATGATAATGATGATAATGGTAATAAAGATACTGAATTGACATGATGTCAACAAAAACAATTTGAAGAGATTAATAATGATAACGAGAATGATGTAATAATCATGATAATGATAAAAATGTTAATAATAATAATAACATTAATAATGATAGTGATAATGATAATAATATACTAATGTACTATACTAATAATAATATAAATATATACTATAACAATAATGATAATACCAATGATGATAACAACACTGATAATGATAAAGATAAGGATAATAATAATGATAATAAGGATAATGACCACAATGATAACAATAACAATAATGATAACAATGCCATTAATAGCAATGACACTTATAATGATGATGATAATGATACCAATTAGGACGAACCGTTTATGTTGACAAATGTAGAAAGGTACAAATGATGGAGAATGAATATCTTCACAATACAAGAGATATATTTGGCCGGTTTCGAATATATCTTCGTCAGAAATACATGCATTATTATCATCATCATCATCATTTTCTATTATCACCATTGCTGTAATAATCATCATGATAATCATAATGATGATAATGATAATAATGATAATGATAACAAAAAATAATTATAATAAAAATAATGATTATGATAAAAAATAAAAAAAAAAAATAATAATAATCATAATAATAATAATAATAATAGTAATAATAATGATTATAATGATAATGATTATAATAATGGCGATTATTATTATTATCATTGTTATCATTATCATCACCATTATTATCATCATTATCATTCTCATCGTTACTGTTATTCTCATTGTTATCATTATTATCATATTTACTATTACTGTTATCATTTTTGATGTCATTGTAATTATTATTTCAAATAACATCCTTATCATTATCATTATCACTACTACTATTTTCATCATTATCTTTATTATCACTAGTATTATAACCATGATTATCATTACCACTACTATACTATCATTATCATTATCATCATTGTCATCATCAGTGTTATTATTGTTTCATTATTATCATCATTATTACTGTTATTATTATCATTAGTATTAGTATTAATATCATTATTATTATCATTATCATCATCACCATTATCATTGTTGCATGTATTATTGTTATCATGGTGATATTTATCATCATTATTATCATTGTTGTTGCTATTATTATTATTATTGTTATTTTTTAATTATTACTGTTATTTCTATTATTATTATTATTATTATTATTATTACTATTATTCGTTATTATTATTATTATCACTTATATTATTGTTATTATTGTTATTATTATAATTATTGTTATCATTATTCATTATTATTATTATCATTATTATTATTATTATCATCATCATCATATTAATGTTACTGTTATTATTATCTTTATCATCATTATTATTACTATTACTATCATTATTACTATTATCATTACTACTATTATTATCATTATTATAAATAATAATTATTATTATTACTATCATTATTATTATTACTATTATCATACAACAACAACAACAACAACAACAACAACAACAATAATAATAATAATAATAATAATAATAATAATAATAATAATAATGATGATGATGATGATATGATGATGATGATGATAATAATAATAATAATAATAATAAATAATAATAATAATAATAATAATAATAATAATGATGATGATAATACCATTATCATCATTTTTATCATTATCATTATCACTACTATCATCATTACTATCATCGTCATCATCATAACTAATATTAATAGTAATAGTAGTAGTAGTATTAGTACTAGTACTATTATCGTAATCATCAGCATCACTTATCATTATTGTCATCATCATTACTAGTATTACTAATAGAATTACTAGTATTACTAATAGCATTACTAGTATTGACAGCTGGTATTACTGTTACTCTCACTATCACTTCTATGCTTTTGTTACTTCTTTAGCTACTGCTATTACGCGTAAAATATATTATAATCAACGTAATCTCCTCCGTTTTAGTGGTCTACTCATTTACATTTGTAGCATATGTCTTATTTTTTTTAATGTGTCTCAGATGTAGTAATATTAGATGTAACAAGCGAGGATTTTTGTGCCGAAGCCAAGAAAATTATGATTTAATAAAAAGGTTTCTCGGGTCGAGTGTGAAAGGCCACAACCTGTTTATTATCGCATTTCTGCCCTTATGACAATTACAGTTGTTTTTGCCATTCGATCCGCCTCGGACGGCGCGGAGAGGCACGCCTGCCCGCTGCCATTCCTCGGCCAGAGCAAAGATTTCATTATTTTCCCGCAAAAGAGATGTCAATAATGACGTTTGCATGTGTTTGGTGTCTGTCTGACAGCTCAGCCCGACGGCGGGGGAAGGGATCGGAGCCTCTCTGAACGGCGTCGGATTTCCCTCCCAAGAGGATCGAGCTCGACGGCCGGGTTCTCGCGTCTATACTTCTGTCGCGACGTTCGGCGGATCTTATTTTCGCGTTTGGTCCTTTCTTTTCCGGGATGTCGCCAGCTCTCCACCTCCACGGCGCCTCCTAGACCCGCCCTGAGCGAAGGAAGACGCCGCCAGCCTCAGAAGCGCCTCCGAGGCCGCGGCGGGGGGCGGGAGCGTGCGCACTAATTTTGGCGGATGATAAAATAAGCAGGTGCAAGATGGCGGGTGTTGGGGATGCAAGGGAACGGGAAAGCACTTCTCCCTCACCTGTCCAGATCCCGGAGAATCATGACGAGATCAAAGACAGAGCGGCCCTGGAGGAAGAGGCAAGTGCAGTCGCCAAGTGTGCGTGTGCTAGGGCGCCGAGGGGGCGGCGGTTGGGGCCAAATGGCGCTTGTTTTGGCGGCCGAGCTTTGTTGACATTCAGGTATGGTCGGTCCGGGTCCTCGCAGGGCCCTCGCCGCCACGGGCCCTCGCCGCCGACGCCCCTGGCCGCGGGCGCCCTCGGGGACGGCGGCGCCCTGGGCGAGGCGCTGCCCCGGGCCAGCCCTCGGCGGGAGGCGGGGAGGCTCCGGCGGGGGCCTGGCCTGGGGTCGCGCGGGAGGGCAGGGCGGGGGCAGGGCTGGGCAGGGCTGGGCAGGACTGGGCTGGGCAGGGCTGGCAGGATAGGACAGGACAGGACAGGGCAGGACTGGGCTGGGCTGGGCAGGCAGGGCAGGGCAGACGAGGGTGTGTGAGGGTGCAGCGCAAGGGCTGTCCAGAGGAGGGAGTCTTGTGGAGGATTCAGTGGTGGTTGCGTTGTGCCGCGATTCCTTGCTTTCCAGGTTGTCTTCGATTGGCCTGGGACGAGGTGGGGTGTGGGAATTTGTTTTGCGGTGTGGCTGCGCTTTGGCCATGGAGGTGCTCCTGACTGGGAACTCGGATATCTCAGTCGCTCAGTTGAAATGTCTACAGCAGCAGTGCGTTTCAAAGAAACGCTCGCAGTCTCAGGTGCAAGCTCGGTTTCCAGTGAACCCAAAGACGCGTCAAACTATCTAGAGTACTTTGAGAACGTAATTATTGCAATTGGAGTAATATCTTAGCAATGAAATTTTCAGTGACTCGTAAGGCTTATTGCAGTAAGAAAATAGTTTTAATTCCGTACATATTGCACAAGGTAAACAGTGTATGGAGTTGGATGACTCGGTGAAATCTAGGATTTTGTTTGGATGTAGTTCTTTTAACCATGTCTTGCTAAAATTGAAAATAATAATTTTTTTAACTGTTGTCTGGGTATCAGATACTACGATCAGTATGAAGTTATTGATGGATGCGTGGATGTCTTCTAAAATAAAATATATGTATCTGGTGGTAGGTGTGATATGATTTGTGAGGCCAGGAACTCGTCAGACTATGGCAGTGCATACTTTAGCAAGATTCGTCATCCAGTGAAGAGTCTGTTTAGGGTCTTTTGTACAGAATGAAAGTGGAGCAAGTTTACTGGCCTTTGCCAGAGCTCGAAATGTGGCTGTCGTAGTCCCTTCATGCAGTCTTACTTTGAATATTTATCCAGAAAAACGGTGAAAAAGGAAGTGCAAATCTTTTGAAAGGGCTGTATCTGTGCAGGCAAAATGGCCATGGGCACATCCACCTGTCTGGCAGGTTTTGGGGATATTTGTTTACAACTCTTGACCCATAGCATTAACTTCTGAAAGTAGATTCCCTGCAGTTGCAACAAAGGGGGCTATTCCGAATCAGGCTGTTTTAATCTTTTTCTTTAAAGGAGAGTAGCTTCATTTTGTCAGTCATCTTTGCTTTCATGAGTCTCCAACGCTACATCAACAAACATCATTCAGCGATCCAAATTGTAACTGGGTGGCACTGCCCAAGGGGAGGGTTGAGGCTCTGCCCTCCACACCTCATGGGAAACAGTATCTTGCCGTTGTTTTCACCTCAGTAGCACGGAAAGATCGTTGAAACTGGAAGACTGAGTGGCCTTGAGCAATAATTTTTCTCCATTATTTGTGGTACTATCATTCATGTGTGCAGGTTATTTATTTACTAATGACTGCAACCTTTTGTCCTCTCCAAGAGTATTATCTTCAATTTGCCTCGGCCTCCATACCATACAGCCATTAGTCTCTGGTGAGGGTGTCAGTATTGTAAAGAATTACTAAACACTGTTTTTTTAGGTCTTGTTCAGGGGTTCTTAAACAATGGGTTATTATCTTTTGAATTTTTTTTTTTATTGTGTTGGGTTTGTATAAACCATTGAACATGGATCAGAGATCTAGCACTTGTTCGTTTTACATGCTTTTTTTTTTCTATCCTTGTTAACAAAGTTCCCATCACAAATGTGGTTGTAGTCATGTTCACAATTTCTGGATATGTAAAGGTACTGTAGTACTGAATTGTTCTTTATCTCCAGGTATTTTAGATATTTTAGATATAGATTGGTGTGATACCATTGCTGTTCCATTTGGAAAGAAATAGTTTCATCTTGCCATGCATACAGCGCCCCCTATCAGCCCTCCCCTTCGGCAATGCCTAAGTGGCACTGTACTCCGAAGAATTACCTTCAGCTTTTTGGTTGAGAGTTTGATTTATGATTACAGGTTTCCAGTATTCTGTTTGTTTCCATTGCTTTTATGTGCATTAGAGTTTGTGTCATTTGGCTTCTTTCTTTCTTTTTTTCTTCTTTATTTCATTTATTTACTTATTTATTTATTTACTAAATATTTTACTAATTAAGATGGTCATTGTCATCAATTTATTATTAAGACTTCTGAAAAGTCAGGCTGTTGTGGATGAGAATCTTTCGTGCAATATTGATTCTTTTCCACTTAAAAACAAGAGAGATGCGTGTAGGGTTCTGCTAACATAGTGCCCAGCTGTTTGAGACCAGGACTAATCTCTGTCAGCACAGGAAATACTTGTGTGAGGATACTCCTGTGATAAGTTCAGAGACCACAGCAGCTGTTGATTTGCTTTTATGTGTGGAATTCCCTGTTAGTCTTGGAATGAAATGTTTATCTTCTTTCTCCTGTTAGCTTTAAAGAATCAACAGAGCTTGTGTTGATATCTTGGTTCAGATTTTTGAGGAAATGTGTTTGGAAATGTATTTTGTTGATTTGCTATCAACTTGTATATTTTTCTTTGTCTTTCTCATAAATGTGTGGAATATATTTTAAGGATATAGATAATCATTTATCATCTAGGACTTTCTATTTCTGCTTCCGTGTTTAAGCCATAGGAATTTTTAACATTTAAAAAAAATCTTCCAAGTGTGAGGCAGTGTACAGGAATGGTCTTCAGGTGTTTCTGACACGTCATAATATCTGGATTTCTTGAAATGCTTCGTCTCACAGTGTTCGTGCCAAGTTTGTGGTGAATCGATTTATTATGCTTTAGGTGACGTATTGCTTTCATGAATCTTATCAGTTGCCAGTCCACTAGGATGTAAAACCACCATAAAATTTATCAAGGAAAGCAAGATAAGAGTTTTAATATTACCTGCCTTTATTAGCGTTCTTTTGCTTTATGTGCTCTGTTTGTTTGTATTTTCAAGTTGTTTGTTGACATTTGGACATTACTTAAATTTGATTTTACATTTTTCATATAGCTAGGTGAATTTGAAAAAATTAGACTAAAGGCTTGGCACATAGGCTTACACTCTCGTCTCTTTCCAGTTGCAAAACATACAGAATATCATCCATCTGACGAAGGAGTACATCGACGACCTCAACTCTCGCTTTGCCGGTTTCCAGCACCCCCCATCTTTATATCTCACGGTAAGTTGTGCTCCGTCCAAGGTAGCAGGATGGTCAACCTGTTCATGATGGAAAGGCCTCTCAGATTCAGATTTGTTCCTGGCCCCTGAGGCTCTTCATGCCACAAGTCTGACTTGCCTCATTCCTCAAAATAATCCCTTATTTTCATATGGCTTCAGTCAGATAATAATTAAATCTAATTATGAATTGATTAGTTAGTTGTATATCATTTGTTACAATGGTTATTTTTGGTGTGACATGCCCCTTTGCGCAAGGAATGGCTGGGTTACCATCCTTTGGAGATGAAATTAAACACGTGTCAGCAACATTGCTTGACAGGACCACTGCCACGGTACCACATATAGTAAAGCTGGTGGAATTGTGGTCTCACAAAAAAAACTACAGTTCTGCTTACTATAAGAAAGGAACTAGATATTTGGCAAATCTAAGACCCGATGAAAGGGGTGGGAATCTTGCGAGTAAAGGTTTGTTCCTTTGGAATCGCTCAAAATTTTCTTCTTGTAGGATTTTGCAGAACCGAAATTGTATTCAGTGCTTTCATAGTCAAGCCATATAGTAATAAAAATTGTTAGTTACTGTTAATGTTATTGTTATTGTCTAGTGTTATTTTTTTTATGATTTTAATATTATTGTTATTATCATTATTATTATTATTGTAATTTTTTATATTAATGTTGGGATTATCATTGTTATCATTGTTGTTGTTATCATTATCATTATCATCAGTAGTAGTATTATCATTGTCACATTTCTATGGTCACCACCCCATCCTGGCACTAAAAAAAACCTTCCCTTTGCAGGAGTACACAGAGCTAACTGGAAAGTTGCACAGATTTGAGGCCAAGGAGCAAGAAATACTAGAGCAGTTGACACTTGCAACTGGGCAGACTGCGCAGACAAATGGCTGTCACGAAGATTTACCTGAGGGGCAGACGGCAGCCTCTGCTGAGGAGGTGGAGCCAGGCTATCCGCCTGTGACACAAGCTTCCAGTGAGTACTTGGTAGATGCCTGTAGATGTATTACATGCAATACAATGTTTTTCTTGAAAGTATTCTGTTGAAAGCAGATGTGTCAGATCACTTTTCTTTTAGAAAATACAGTAATTCATGTTTTCTTTGCCCCTAATAGGTAGTAATGGTGTATGTGAAGAAGTGGCACGTTCCACACCACAGTCTCCCCTTCGATCGGTTGTACGGGCGCATTTGCCCAACCAGCAACGTACTACAGTACAAGTGCAGCCGGGACGTACTTTAAAAGAAGCATTAGCAAAGGCTCTTAACTTCCGTAAACTTTCTCACGATGTCTGCATTGTGTACAGAAAAAACAATCCTAAGGTAAGTGAAGCATTGCCTGCGCTAATTGTAGAGAGTGCATTTAACTATATTCGTTGATAAATGAGATGTTACTCCTTTTGATCTTATTCAAATTATTAAAAGTTTGTTGTTCACGTGTGTTTGAGGAGGATCAAAAATACAACCTGTTGTGGATGGTGGATTACCTTTCTCTTTTTTGAGATGTTTGGTGATGGTGATATAAAGATACGAGATGAATTCCCTTTTGAGTTGCAGCTCTCCTGCTCCCCTCCCATTAGCATTTGTGCTCTTCTTTGGTACAGGTGCGCATGTCTTGGGACTCAGACATTGCAGCGTTAGAAGGAGAGGAAATTGTTGTGGAGGTTCTAGAAAAGTTTCCTGTAACAACATCCATCTCCCACAATTTTGTAAGTGTGATTGCCTGTGTGCGGATTTTGTTTTTATAATTGCTCAGGATATTTACTGTCATGCTAATAGAATTGTGATGAGTTGCATCACAGTTGCATTTTTGCTGTCATGCTGATTTACTAGTGATAAATTCAGTATAGCTTGATATTGTATTTTGGCATAGATTATTGGTGTTCATGCAAGCCTATTAGTCTTCGTCTTTTTGTGCCTTTAGAATTTGATTTCTTGGGATTAATTGGCATGCAAGTGAACAAAAACTAAAGTGTGTCTGGTCCCTCTTTCAGAATAGAAGAACATTCTTTTCTTTGGCATTCTGTGATAACTGTCGACGACTTCTATTCCACGGGTTTGTATGCCGTACATGTGGCTATCGCTTTCATCAACGCTGCTCTGTTGGAGTTCCAACGCTGTGTCAGCAGGATCAGCGTATTACAAATAATATCTACCAGCAGTGAGTTTATTTTATTGTTGTTATTGCTTGGGTGCATAAAAATCTGGGAGTAGATAGGCTATGCCTGTGGAATGAGTGTAATCTGAGGTGTTCATGCCATTTGAGAATCCTCTGATTCAGACTCAAGTTTGGCGTGATCTCCCTTCCGGATTGGCCCAGGTGTGGTGAATTACCTGGGTAACTAGTGGAGCTACCTGTTGCATTCTTTGCCCAAATCATACTCTTGGTTTACAGGCAATGATTTGTGGTATATAATAATTTTTAAAAGTTCTAACATTTTTCAAACTTTTGAAGCCATCTCAGTGTAACTAACATGGAAGGCTGGAAGAACCAAAGTCGGGCTGAGATTTTTTTGTGGAACTTGGGCTTTAGCGGGATCAGTGTAGACAAATCAGCATTAGATTACTCCCTCTGGAGTGAATTCATCTTGAGTACATACTTTTATAAAGGCGCCCTTTCCGAAGTTTGTTTGGGAATATTGAATAGTTATAGGGCAGCCTCCTGGGTGATGGGAGGTCAGGGTGGAACTGTATTTCATGGTGTAATAGGAGATCAGGGCGGAACTGTATTTCATGGTGTAATGGGTAAGTTGGGATTTTAGCCAAGATTCCCCTTGGCAGCTGGTGTGTAATACAGGCATTATCTACAGATGCCAGTTCATAAATACCCAGAGAAGGTTTTTATACCTTGGATCAACACATTTGAACGATGATTTATAAAAAGAAGGTGCATTACCTGCTTTTTCTTTCTTATCCCATCGTGGTGCTTTCTCAATTTGTATCCAATTTTAAGAAACTTTTTTTTTTCCCTTGAGAGAACAGACAATCTTGTTTTAGATTTTGAAAATTCATAAAGATAGGTTTTTGGGGAATAAATTATCAATGGAACCCAAAGCGTATACATTTTTAGTCAGTAGGTTACATGAAATAATTTGGAAACTGATATGAATTTCAAAAATGGGTTATTTTTGTATGACTCAGAGGTTATCTCGCCAAAAGTAGTATAAAAAAAAGGGACTTGAGGATTCTAGAAGAACAGTAACCTAGCCAAAGATAGAAAGAAAGAAAAATATTGCAAGAAGCAAATTATTTGGCCATGACCACCCCTTCAGGTAAAGTATAAAGATATAAGGAGGACTCCAAGAAGAAAGCCATCCACCTGGACAAAACCCATGGCAATCTCTGTGAGACTGCTTTCTATTTATTAACAAAAAAACAAAAATCTGTGAATTCTTTGGGACGATACCCTGAAATGAATAATTAAATACTGCTCATACCATTCATAGTTATAATCTGTGAAACAATATTTTTGGAATGATTTGTATATATTTTGTATTTTACACACACACAAATAAACAAAATTCAGTTAACCAGTCACTGCTCTCCCAACAGTTTATTAGCGTCGTATCAAGATAACCAAGCAGGAATCCTGACCACAACAGTGTATGGAGGTCCCCACGGAGCCCAGTCTTCGCTATTAGGTCCCTATGCCGGCCATTATCCCGGTGGCTATGGCGGCCACTACATGGACAATTACAGGAATCAATATCCTGGCCAATATTCCAGCGGTGGCAGCGAAGGGCAGGTCCCACCCCCCCTGCCCCGACCTGCCCCTGCCCCCCTGGCCCCGAGGGACCGGTCCTCCTCGGCTCCCAACGTGTGCATCAATCTGGTCAACCCTTCCAGCCAGTCAGATGCCGGTGCCTCGTTGGCGGAGTTTGCACAAAGGATCGGCAAGAATTACAATCCGACAAGTCCAGGTAGGTTGACACACTTTTGCAACATGGCTGGAGCCATTTCAGGGTTTTTTATATTTATCATAGATCTTGATATGCGTATAGGAAGTTGCATTTATACTGGGAAGTATTTTGATTATTTGAACTTATTATTTTCATAGTTTGATGTAGAAAAGGCTATATTCGGTTTTAGAAGTATTGAAATATTGATAACTAAAGGGAAGTGGGTTGATTTTTGCATTTACTCTAAGTCTTTAGAAACAAGCAACACTGTTCTACTCTTGCTACCTGAACCCCTAAATTATCACACAAATGCCTTTCTGCACAAAAGTAGATGCTGAAGCGCATTCTTTGCCACTGGTTTCGGTTTCACTTCCACCGACTTTTGATTCTTTGAGAGGTAGGACGCAGAGAGACTCTTGGCCATAGTAAACACTCAATTTCTTTTGCCCAAAACAGCTTTCACCTTGGTATGTTTAGATTTTTTATTTATTTTTTTTTAATTTTTTATATATGCTTCACTTTGATAGGGCATCTGTTTAGATTTTTCTCTGCATAGGATATAAATACACACAGATGCACATGCATACATACATATAAATATTTACTTGATTACTTGTTATGATTTTAAGCAAGAGCCTCGTTATTAGCTTATGTTGGAGCCATCCTCTTTTTCTCTCTCTCTCTCTCTCTCTCTCTCTCTCTCTCTCT